TGATCCATCTGCGTTTCTTTTGACTTTGAAGACTCACTTTAACCCGATGGGTCTAACATTATTTGGCAAATGAACAAGTTTCTAGGTGTTATTCTTCTCAATTGAATCAATCTTCGTTTTCATTGCCTTGACCCATTCAGGTTTCTCTTTGGCCTCATTAAAATTCCTTGGTTCATCTTCAAATGTTAACATCAGCTCGTAAACATTTAGCTCGTAATCATTCAACCTTCTTGGCAGTACAGAATTACGAGTTGAGCGACGAACCGGGGCTGGTGTGATGTTAAGATCGGAGTCATTGTGAGATGAGTTTGATTCAGATCGTGGGATGTTGTTTGCCTAGGTTTGGCTACTGTCAAAGTTGATATGGGCTTGGTTAGTGGACTGATTTGGACCATTGACTTCTGGACTTATATGATCATCCCAGATTACCTTGAACGTACCTGATTCCTTTTCAGTTTGGTTCACATCTTCAGGCATATATTTCCAGTTCCATGCTCTATTTTCATCACAAATTGCATTGACACTTGTAATACTTTTATTTTCATACGGATTGTAAAGACGAAAGCCTCCCGAGCCAGCTTCCTTACCGAAATATACCAGGGGTTTAGACCTGTCATCTAGTTTCGTCAAGTGCTCAGAAACTATTCTTACATAGGCAACGCAACCAAATACTCTTAAGTCTTCAAGGTCTAGTTTTTTACCATAAAGCTTTTCGTATGGCGTAACTCCTACCAGTGCTCGCGTAGGGATTCGGTTTATGAGAAAAGTTGTATGTCGAACAGCTTCACCCCAAAACAGGGTTGGTACACCTTTTTCTTTCATGAGGCAGCGTGTCATTTCGATTAAGGTGCGATTTCTTCGTTCAACTATACCGTATTGTTGAGGTGCATACGGAGCTGTTAACATTCGTGATATGCCTTCTTGTTCCCAGAAACGGTTTAAGTCATATGATGTAAACTCTTTGCCTCTATCCGTGTGGAAGGTCTTTATCTCTTTACCCATTCGCCTCTCAATCAATAACTTGAATCTTTTAATGACACTTGCTGCGTCACTTTTGTGCTTTAAGAGAAAAGACCACATGTACCTGAAAACATTATCAATAAGCACCAGAATATAGCTATTGCCTGCTTGAGTGGGGGGATTAATTGGTCCGCAAATATCCCCGTGTATCATCTCAAGAACGTCTTTGTCTTTGTAGGTACCCTTCTTTGGGAACGAGTGTTTAGTTGGCTTGCCCACCAAGCAAATCTCGCAGAGTTGATCTTCATGCTTAATACCCGGTACCCCTTTAGCTAATTTGTGCATCAAATTCACTGCACCAAAGTTGATATGGCCAAGCCGAGCATGCCATAACCATGATTCTTCATTGATGTTAGCCTGCAGATAGTAAGGTTTCCCAACCTTTAGATTAGTTTTGTACAGTCGATTCGCACTCCGTGGTACCTTCATAAGCAATCTTCTGTCTCTGTCTCGCATGGTTAGGAAATTACCTTGAAGATGAATATCACATCCAGACATTGTGGCTTGTCCGAGGCTGATTACATTATCTCCTGGGAAGGCTTGTGAGAAATTTCTCCTCCAAGTGTAGCTGAAGTAGAAGCGATACCTGATAGCTTTGCTGCAAATTCATCTATCGTAACTGCAGCTTTCATCTTCAAATTTTCGAATTCCGTAGTTAGGGTTTGAAGTCTTGCTTCCTTCACACGGTCAGCCCCTAAGTTTCGCGTCTCAATGGCGTTCCACATCTCCTTCCCAGTTTTGAGATTGCCGATTTGAAGAATCAACTCTTCCGGTATTGACTGATAAAGCAGGCCCTTGACAATTTTTTTTTTTCTTGAAATCGTCTGAACCTGGATCTATCACATCCCAGACTCCATGAATTCCAAGTAGGACTTCCATACGCATCCTCCATATGGTGTAGTTCGTTGACGTTAATTACGGAAATCGAAACGTCAATGAATGAGATTCCTTTGACGACGACTACTGATTTTCACTTCCTACCATTCGTGATCGATCAGGTAGATGACTCAACTGACTGGGCATAGGTTAGAGTGAAGGAGAAGCTGTCAATCGGAATCCTCAGTGCTCTGATACCAATTGAAGATTAAACCGACTAACATATAAAATTGCCAGAATCATGCAAATAATTTTATTGAAGAAAAAAATCAGCTCAAAACTTCAATAGCCATCTAATAGATGTCTATACCCTATCTACGTGGTATTTATAGACAAGATAAGAGAGTTAGAGTTCTACTAGAACTTGTCTTTTTACATAGTCTAAAAAAACAAGTTGACTAGGACTCAAACTAACTTAAGTAACTTGGACTGCATTCCAAATTCACCAAGACTCTATTCCCCAGTATTCGGATCTGACTATTTCTCTAACACTACCCAAAAAGGAAAGGGAGAACTTAATTGGGGGACGGAGGGAGTAGTTGTCAAAAGAATCACACCCAAATTTATCAATGAGATTTGCCGAAGCTATATAGCCTCACTCGGAATCTCGAATAGCAATGGCACTTACCCCTATTTGGTTCAAAGGAGGGAAAGGAAGGAGAGTGGCGAGACCGCCGGGCGACGGTAGAAGAATGAAGGACTTTGACAAAGCTTTCATCCGAAATATCCCAATTTAGGGGATTTAAAATTCGAGAGAATGGAGGGTTTTGGAAGTCATCAACTTCCTCACCTTCCGTAATTCCTCCAACCAAACATGCATGAATCATCCACCTTCTTTCAATTCCCTTTCCCTTCAAAATTTCTAACCAAACATACATGAATCTTCCACTTTCTTTCCCAGTATAGACTGAGTTTTGTTTTCCCGAAAAATCAAAATTTTAAAAGGATGTTTATCTTATTCAACTCTTCCCAAGGGTGTGTCCATTAAAAAGTTTGTGCATTCTCAATTGTAACAAAACAACATTATACTACTACAGTTACTACGTATGATAGAGCAAAAAGAATCCTATTTGAGGATGATTCTTTTTCAAAGATCAATTGTATAAACAATCCTCAAAACCTATGATATAAACATTATCTATCGAGTGATTGAGATATATACTAATTGGACTAAAACTAATACAAATAAAAATAACTAGTACTTTCTCCATCATACAAAGAAGTTGTTTGGGAAATATCTTTGGACGAAAAGAATTCTTTATCAAATTAAGATAATTTTATGTGCAATTTGCTAGGAAATAAGATTAAAATGATGCTTATGTGCTAAATTTAGTTAAACTATCAACACATTACATATTTCCGTTGATGATTTATAACGATTGTATTTGTACATTTACAAGCATTTCCACTTATCAAACATGATTCTTTATAGTGTAAATAGTTATATATACTTATCATTTGTTGAGTATTGGTGGTAGGGTAGGATCTACATTAGTACTGAGCTGAAATTCAGAGCAACTTAATTTTTTTTTTTTGATGTTTTTAGTTTTTTTTTTCATTTTTCATAGGGAAAAGGTGCAAATAGGCCCATGTACTAACAAAAAAAGGTCAAATAAGCCCTTATTTAGGAGGCTTTGTCCGGCCGTCGCCATTTGGAGTGATTCCCGGTGGAATTTTTTTATAAAAGTTTTTGAGCATCTTATTCATGAAGTCTAGTTTACTCATACCAAATTTAAGCAAAAACTTCAATCGGGAAGACATTCAAATGAATTCTTGAAAATAACTGCGCAATTAGAAGCGCAGTTATCTTCAAGAATTCATTTGAATGCCTTCCTGATTGAATTTTTAGCTGAAATTTGGTATGAGCAAACTAGACTTGATGAATAAGATGCTCAAAAAATTTCATTAAAAAATTCCACCAGGAACCACACCAAATGACGACGGCCGGACAGAACTTCCTAAATAAGGGCTTATTTGACCTTTTTTGGTTAGTACATGGGCCTATTTGCACCTTTTCCCTTTTTCATATTTAGCTCATCCTGCTGATATTTAAGCCTCATATAATTCCTTTTCAGCCCAGTCACTGATTAGTGGTAAAAGCGTAACTTATTAGAATACTATATACAATTATATGTACATAGACATATAACAAACAAGTTGATACAATACATATATAAAGACATAATAATTATGTGATGGGGCGGAGGAAGTATATAAAAGTATAATTTTAGAACACACATACACTTAACAAATGATTGTCAGATCCATCCCACTATATATTTATGATGCCCATATGCTATTTCTTTAATATTCCATTTTACAAACCAGCCTAAATAATCCTCAGCTTCTTCAATTAAGATCCATCAATGAAAATCATTCTTGGAACAAATAATTGGCCAACAATAAAAGCAAGTAGATGAGAGGAGTGATGTAGAGAAGACTTACCAGTGGTCTAAATATGAATATAAACACTTTTTGTGGAGAAAATTAGTTTGATTGTCTTGAGTGATTTTTGCAAAAGTTAGTGTGATTATTTATTTTGAACACACACATACAAGACTTACAAATTAGCCCAAATAATCCTCCATTTATTGAATTCGGACTCATCTATACAAATCATTTTGAAAACAAATAATTGGCCAAAAAAGTAGAGAAGTGATAGAGAGAAGACTTACTTGAAAGTTATAATACTTTAAAATTGATATACTTTAAAAATTGGATTTTTAAAGTATTGGGGGTTATGATTTTTGTAAAAATTGGAACAAAAATGAAAAAGTTATAATACTTTAAAAAAATTGGGGGTTTTTATAGGTTGGGCCCCACCAACTGAAAATCCTACGGCTGCTCCCCTTCCATTTCACTTGGAGAAGTTCGGTATTTTGGAGTGAAAAGCCACGTGTCATTTTTATAGAAAATGAGATAATTGTGGAGAGTTTGACACATAGGATTAATGAAGGGTAAAATAGTATTTTAGATTTGAAGTTTGAGCCATGGAACTCTTTCTCCCGAACGGATACATCCTTGCTTTCCTTCTCCAGCCCTCTACACTATGATCTTCCTCTCTCGTTACCTCTCTATTATGGGTTGATCTGGGTGAATTGTAGGTTTTGGAAGAGTCAAAGCAAGATTCCCAGTTGTCAGGACCCTTCTAGATTTTCTGGAGAGGTAATACGTACCATAGCCTGAGATTGATTCTCTCGAATTCCATTACATCCAATCCACTCCTTTTATAACAGTAATCCCACTTGGCATATTCTAAATGACAGCTTAATCTTGTTTTTATTTGTAATATTCACACCCATGTTCAATGATAAGAGCAGACCAAGTACTCACAGTAAGTATATACGATAGTATAATACTTATGTCCAGATAATAATCAACATTTGCCACTAGTTCGGTCTATTTTTCTTGCTCCGGATGTTGAAGCAATTCTGCAAATACCATTGAGGAGGCAAGGTGGACTGGATCGGCTAGCTTGGACAAAGGAGAAATCAGGCATGTATACTGTTCGATCGGCTCATCGAGCGATCGTGGCAGACAGACAACGAAATGAGGCTGCTTCAAACAATAACCCCTCTTCTTCGTTAGGCAGTGAGGAGGAGCTATGGAAAAATCTGTGGAAGCTTATGGTCACTCCAAAAGTGCGGGTATTTTGGTGGCGGGTTCTTCGTAGAATCCTACCCGATTATGGGACCTTGTCACGACGGCATATCATGGACATTAGCACTTGTGGTCTATGCAAAGCTGGGACAGAAACTCTGCTGCACGCACTTGTGGAATGCAACCATGCGAGACTTTTCTGTAATGCGGCTGAAGAAGTTCTTTTTATTAAACTGCCGCGCCTTCACCAAGCAACTTGGGCCGCTGATATTCTCTGCAACTCAAGGTTTGATGATAAAGATAGGCCTAAAATCATCTCTGTGATGCATTCGATTTGGCTATCACAAAATAAATGGACTCATAGTGAGGCTGGTTATATCCCAGCAAAGGCTATGGAGTATGTCCAAGAGCTTCTATTATCAATAGAGCTACCCCCCACTCATTCCGCGCCAAAGCAACCTCAGCCGGAGTGTACTTGGCATGGACCACCGGCAGATGTAGTTAAGATTAACTCAGACGGTGCTTTGTGTTTGGATGACAATATAGCGGGAAGTGGTGTAGTTGCACGCGACTGTGTCGGCTTTCGAGGTGCAGCTTGTAGAAGTTATATTGGGATTTCAAACCCCTTGACGATCGAAGCTTTGGCCCTGCGGGATGCTGTTACATTTGTCGTTAACCGGGGCTTCAATCAAGTGATCTTCGAGGTGGACTGTTCGGACCTGCTCTGGCATTGGAACCAATGACGTACTGATCGTTCAATTATTTCCCCAATCATAGAAGAAATTGGTGAGCTTAGTGAGACCTTTATTTCTTGTATGTTTGTTTTTATGAGACGTGAAGCCAATCAGACTGCTCATTGCTGTGCGAAATTTGCTTGCTCACATGTTCAACAAACTGCATCCTGGCTGGCAGAGGTCCCTAGTTTTCTTAAACACAGCCTGAGAGCTGATTGTAACATGGTTGATTCTACTTAATGAAGTTGTTTGTTTTCCCTAAAAAAAAAAGATAATAATCAACATTATAAGACATTGCTTTCAACATTTCCAAAATTATGGTTTTGAAGCAACTCCTTTTAATATACTAAGTAGCTTTTTGAAATACATGTATTGAAAAAATATACTTTGTATTTGTTATTAGAAGATCTTAAACCAAATTTTGGTGAAATGTGATTTGACCAGCTGTGAAGACTAGCACTCGACAGAGATGTTTTATGCAGTCAAATTTGTGACATCACCTGCATATTTGTTACTGGAGGTATCTTTTATATGCATAAGTTAGTTTTGTGGTATTATTAGGAAAATTTTGTGGTCCATTCAATGACATTTGATTACATGTTAAAGTTGTTTCTTTGGATAGTAAAATGAAAATTAGATATCATTTTGTGTCGCAAAAACTAATTAAAAGTCCAATGAAAAAAAATGTTTTGTGAAAGCGTCGATGTCCATCACCAAATGTGAAATAAGAAACTTAGAGGCCGTTTGGCAACACTCTTTTGTTGGCTTATCAGGCTTATCAGCCAACTTTTTCACCAAACACGTAACTTTTGCTTTCGCGCGCTGTAAGGTTGTAGTTACTTTTCTGGCTGTATTGGCTGAAGTTACTGTAGATGACCATTTTAGCTATTTTTACATGTAATTTTTTTTTATTAATAAAATATATTTTAAAAATAATTTTTTCTTAAATCAGCAAAATCATCCAATGCAGCCACTTCAGCCAGAACTTCATAAATTTCAGCAGAATCAGCCAAAACAGTCGATTTTCGTAGAAGAAAATGTGATTATGAATATTCAGAGAATTCCTGTATAGTTGAGTTGAATGCAATGCAAACACACACCTCGAGAGTTTCCATGCGTCATAGAAAAAATTAAATGAAAAAAATCATTTTCACTTTTTATGCAATGTAAAGTTGGTTTCATGTTTATTATTGGGGCTTTTCCAAAAATAATACTAAAACAAATCTCATTGAACAAAAATAGGACTAGTTTCAAAAATTCCAAAAATGAGACAAAACTAGCTTCTACCAATGACAATTACCAAAACGCACCAATGACCTATTCGACCATGATCAACCCAATTGTGACCAACCCAACAATGACCAATCTGACCGTGACCAATCCGATTGTGACCAACCTAATCGTGACCAATCTGACAGTGATCAATCCAATCTTGACCAATCCGACCATGACCAATTTGATCATGACCACCGCCCCGACCACCTCCCTGCCCACCACTATAATTCAACTATTACTTTTAACTTTTATGCTCATAAGGTGTTTCTTGGAATGATAGAATGAATTCTATGTGAGAGAATGTAATAGGTTATCCACTAAGGAGCCCTGACAGATGTATTATATTAAGAGTATAATGCTAAAATACAGAAATAAACCTAGTGACGTGCACTTTGTCGTGATGTGCACTCAAAATAATAATACAATACAACAATTATACGTAGTATAATGAAGTAAGGTTCGTATCCGCAGGGAAAGGAATACTTCTCTTTTTATAAACTAGTAACAAGGGGTTTTAGATTGAGTGAATGAACTTAAATTATATTTAAACACAAAGATGAACGAGTTATGTGGTTTAATTAATGAGAAGAAGACTTGGCTTTGCTTTTATCCACTTAATGAAATGTTCGTCGATCCCGGTTATATCTTTAACTATCTTCCTCTCGAATACTCAATCGAGGAGTATATCCAGTTCATCGAGGGTAGTTATTAATAACGAGATGCGTTCATTAATAAAACTTACTATCGAGTCAATATAGAACAAGCGCCGTATATTAACTTGATAGTAGCAATAAACTTAAGATGAAAACGATTGAGATTGATAACCTCAACACAAGCGGTTTATTGGTTTATGTTGGTCCCGTTTAATATGGTAACCAGTCTAGAGGGGGGGGTGAATAGACTGGTTGGTTTTTCAAATTTTCTCCAAGTCCAAATTGGCTTATCAGAGAAGGTCTGATTCTGATGACAGAGATAGGCTGGTTCTGATATCAGAACTGGCCTTGGCAGCGGATTCTGATCTGTCCGGGTAGCCTCAGAAACACTAAGGCAAATGCCTTTCTGATAACTCTGAAAACAAGATCTGCTGAACACAGATTCCAAGTTTTAGAGTTAATCAGTTAATATCCTAAGTGCAGAAATATAAATAACAGTAAAGTAAATAACACCGGATATTTTATAGTGGTTCAAGGAACAACTCGTTCCTCTAGTCCACTGTTCCACTAGCTTTGAAGTAGATCAGTTACAAAGCTAATTCCTAGCACTTAAGAAGCACTCCTCGTCTTCTTCAAGCCTAGATGCCACCCAGGATGCAATTCCACGTCCTGATGGCTGGTCCTTTCACTCAGCTTCCCGGAAGTATCACCACTTCACTACTGCAGTTACTTGGACGCCCTTCTTTTCAGAAGATCCTTTGAAAAACAGAGTTTTTCCTCCAACTTGCTTCGTCACAAAATGGTGTTTGATGAAGTTCTTGAAGAGTTGAAGAACAAGATGAACTTTGCTCGTTGTTGGGGAGGAAAGATTATAGATATTGGAATCTTCCCAACGTAAGCTCGTCTTGTTGAGGATTGTAGGATTTGAGTCTCAAGAGAACTTGAGTTAGATGAGCAAAAGTTGTAGCAAAAAAGTTGTGTCACTGTTCTTCGGTGAGTAGCTTATATACTGGGGTTGTCTGCCCGTTGGAGGAGGAGACAACTGCATTAAATGCGCGTACAGTTGACTTGACCGCCGTTTTGGAAGGTTTCTATTTTTATAATATATCTTCCCGGATTCCTTGGTCAATCATTTGCAATCAATCCTTCAGCGTATCAGGCTCATTTAATGTGCATTAAATGCTTTCCTTTCATGCACAGTCTTCTAGCCGTTGGATGTTTTTACCCGTTGAACTCATAGCTGTTGGATGTTGCTTGAAATCTTCTAAGTGTTAGTCGGGCTCTGATCAGGCTCTTCTGATTCTGATTGCTTTCTGATGAGTTGAGTTCTGATGGCTTTCTGATCTCGGATAGAGCTCTAACTCTGACTCTGATATGTCCGCTGATGAGTACCTTTGATTTGTAGTTCTCATCGGTTATCAGATGTCCAAGTTTATCAGCAACTCTCATGGTGCAACTCTGATGGACTTCTGCTAAGAGAACTCTGATGGGGCAGTTCTCATAGAGCAAGTCTGGTCGAGCAGTTCTGATGCACTTCTGATCTGATCCAAAATAGAGCAGCTCTGATCGTCGACTACACTAATACTTACAATTGAAAATTCTAATACATAAAATCTAATTTGGGGGTACTCTATCTTTCTAATCCTATAGCATCATCAAAATCTAAATACATTTATTCCTTACAATTTCCCCCTTTTTGATGATGCCAAAACCCTTAAACTATCTCCAGAGAAGTGCTTTTCACCATAAAGAAAATAAGTAAAAAAAAACTTTCATTTAAAATCTTGGTGGGCACTTGGCATAGGAAAATAGTAAGAGTAAGATACAGTCAATCACGCAATAATCAAATAAGGATAGAAAGCCGTAGATAACACAAAATATGATATAGCCATGCAAATTAGAGGCAGAGAGGTTATCTTTATTAATCAGAGTTTTTCAAACAAGAAATGCAAAAGAGATAAAGTTTAGAAATCTTCCTCTGCAACCTCTGCAAGAACAGCCTCTTCTTTTGCCTTGGTTTCTTGGAGCTCAGCATTTACTCTTTCTCTAATTGAAGCAAGGTTCCTGGGAGTCATGTATCTCTTCCAGAGTGGAGTAAGCTGGCAATCAAGATAGTACCTTATTGCATCCTTCTCATCCTTCCCAGGTAGGATCCTCAATCTCCACCATTCCTCAGCTTCTTCTATGGATCCTCCATGAGCAATGGTGATGATGCCATTCTCATCTTGAATCAGATTCTCACACTGCAGGGGAGTCATATGCTTTTTCATCTCAGCAAATTGGACTTTGTCTGGTTTAGACAACCCACTGTTCAGCCATTGGTTCAGTGTGAAAGATGGAGATTTCTTCTTCGTTGAACGAGGAGGAGGAGGTCTCTGAATGCCAGCAGCTAGCCTCTTTTGCCTTGCTCTTTCATAGTATCTGGCAGGGTTAATAGCTCTTGAGCTTGGGCCTTCTGCTTCTCTGGGAGGTGGGACAGGTTCTCTGCTATCTTCCCCCTTTTTGGCATCAACAAGATCACCAAGTAGGAGTCCAATTTTCGAGAATTCTGTAGCATTGCTCTCTTTTATAGCTTCAAGGGTACCAGGTAGAGTTTGGGTCACAGAGGCCAGCCCTTCTATCAGCTCCTTTTGCTTGCCCACAGCCGATTGAATATCCTTGGTAGTAGCTTCAAGGAGAGTCAACTTGTGATCTCTGTCTTTTCCACTGTTTATGAGTTTGATGTCAAATTCTTTCAAGGACTTGCAGATGTCCTCTACGTCTGTGAGTTGCTCAGCATGCTTATCAGAGGACCATTGAAGATCATCCACAGCATCAGACAGCTCCTTAATGGCCTTGTCTTGAGCAGAGAGGGTCAGAGATTGAGAGTAGAGGACAGTGTGTACACTGGCTACCTCAGATGCAATGTTGTCTACCTTTTCATTGGATGTCTTCATGTAGCTAAAGAATGTAGTCGACAATTGTGAGAGGGCGTTGGAGATTTTCTCAAGTCCAGACTCAATGTTGTACTGTACCAAATCAAGGTGAGCATCAAGCTTCTGATTTAGTACAAGTAACTTGTTCAGTCCAGCCACCATCTGATCGCCAAAGTCCTCAGCTGATTCCACAAATTCCTGGAAGGGAATGAGGACCGCTTTGGGTGGTTCTGGCTGAGGTATCTCATTGATTTGAGGTTGAGGTTGAGGTTGATCAGGAGATAGAGGAGGAGTAGGGGTCTTCCTTTTGTTAGATTGGAGGTCACAAGCCAGAGAGGATGTAAGGAACCCATCATTATCTTCAGTTGAGGAAGGAATCCTTACAACTGGTTCTCTTTTCTGAGTAGAGGCTGCAGAGTGT